TGTTAGTAGTAAGTAGGTAGTTTAGTCTTAGTAGTAATAGAAAAGTCTTAGTAGTAGTAGTAGTAGTAGTAGTTGTCTTAATAGTAGTAATAATAGAAGTTGTCTTAGTAGTAGTAGCAGTAGTAGAAGTTGTCTAGTAATAGAAGTTGTTGTCTTAGTAGTAGTAGCAGTAGTAGAAGTTGTCTTAGTAGTTTCTTAGTAGTAATAGAAATTGTCTTAGTAGTAGTAGAAGTTGTCTTAGTAATAATAGAAGTTGTCTTGTAGTAGTAAGTAAATAGTAGAAGTTTCTTAGTAGTAATAGAAGAGTAGTAGTTAGTAGAAGTTGTCTTAGTAGTAATAGAAGTTGCTTAAGTAGTAGTAGAAGTTGTCTTAGTAGTAGTAGCAGTAGTAGAAGTTGTCTTAGTAGTAATAGAAGTTGTCTTAGTAGTAATAGAAGTTGTCTTAGTAGTAATAGAAGTTGTCTTAGTAGTAGTAGCAGTAGTAGAAGTTGTCTTAGTAGTAGTAGTAGTTGTCTTAATCGTTTAAAGATCTGGCAACGTACAAAAGAAAAAGTGAGACATCCCTACTGGAATTCTATAACTTGGGGAGTTTTTTTCGGTAAGCAAAACTTTGCACCACTGGCTCTATGTGAACTAGAAAATTATAGTTTTTTTTCATTAATTCATTTTTTTAAACTACCAGATTATGGATTTATATATGACATAAATCATAATTTTAAGAAAACATTCATGAGATCAGTTTCAAAGAAATAACATTGTTTACCTTAAGTCATCTTTTGTAGAGTATAAACCCCTAATGCACGTTAGTTATTAGTTATCAACATCTTGAAATTCAAATCAAACGACGGAAAATTATCGAAATCAATTAAAAATGCGCCGGCCCTAAGCGCCTCCTATCCTACTTTTTCCTTCGTCTATCGACACCGGTTTCGGTCACACTTCTTTAAATATTTTGAAGATGCTACTATTTATTAATCAATATTGGCTAGATTTAAAAGGATTTATGTTTCGCTTGCATGTTCAATTACACATACATAATAAGTAAAATGATTTTGTAGAAGATAGAACTTAATATAAGTTTTTGTAAATTCTTTTAACCATTCAAACACATTCTGTAAACAAAACATAAGGTATATATATTTATGAGAGAGAAGAGAGAGAGAGAGAGAGAGAGAAGAGAGAGAGAGAGAGATAGAGAGAGAAGAGAGAGAGAGAGAGAGAGAGAGAGAAGAGAGAGAGAGAGTGTGTGTGTGTGTGTGTGGTTGTTGTGTGTGTGCATACACACACACACACACACACACACACAACACACACACACACACACCACAACACACACACACACATATTATATATATATATATATAATATATATATATTTATTTAAATAATTTTCTTTGCCGATTTCTTTTTATTAATTTTATCATTCCTTGCAAAACCCGCGGATTCCATAGAATCTTGATAGGGAATCACTGGTCTAGATTTTTTACTTATTCTTGACAGTGCTTTTAAAAGTCTACCCTTATGAATATAAGTGATTTAAAGAAGCTCATATTTTCTCGTGGTAAATCAAAGTTCCTTTCAAAATAATTTTCCTTCATTTCATATGGATATTATGTTTATAGCTATTATTACTTTCAATATTCTTTGAAAGCCAAGTGTTGTGTAGAACTCTAGTTGGGAAACAATTGTCTAGCGTGTTGTTCTTGAGTGCTCAAAATATATTATATATATTATGAATATATATGATTTAAAGAAAATATTTTATGGGCTGTGACAGAAATATTGTATAATTTCGCAAAATCCTTTTTATGATTTTTTTTTCATTTAGTAATTTGAGTAGACAACAATTCTATAATCAAAGTGTGGAAAATAATCAAAGGCCTTGGTTTCTTTCTGATTACTTGTTTATGGCTGGAAACTCGGCTTTTGCCTTGCACCAACACTTGATGGCGCTATTCTGAGATTTTCGGAGATTAACTGCAAATCAACTACCATTTAACAAAAGATTATCACGAACAAGAACTGTAACTGAAAACGCCTTTGCTTTGTTAAAGGGAAGGTTGAGAGGACGTAAGTATAGAGATGCAGATGTTGAAAGGGAAATAATCATAACATCACACCAGAATTTGCATATGTGGACCCTCTGTTAATGCAGCAAGGAAATATTGTCCGGGTTAGTGAGGCACCTGATACCACAGTACCTAAGAGAGGAGAAAATCTTAGTATAAAGAGAAAGAGGGTGCTCTTGGTCTCAATTTAAAATAAACCCATATACAGCCTTATTATCATGCAGTTCAAAGACTGAGGACTTCATAGTGAAATTGTAACCTGTAACTTTTTTTTTCTTTCTTTCTTTGGCAACTTAAACCACAATAAGTTTATTATCATTTATTGAGACTATTTTTCCAACTCACACTAACCTAATTTCCTTTGAACAGTAAGCCAAAAACTACGTTAATTTGTCAAAAAACATGAATGAAATATTTTATTTTATTATTATTATATTATTATTAATTATTATTATTATTATATATTATTATTATTATTATTATTATTATTATTATTATTTTATATTATTATTATTATTATTATTATTATTATTATTATTAATTATTATTTACTATCCACTGAAACTGTCTACGATTAAGTAAATCTTGTCTTAATTTCAGAATACCGCCACCACGATCTTTGGATTCGTGTATGTTAACTGATTTATTAAACTTCTTAGGCATATATTAGTTACTTCTAAATCTAACAGACTTTGCTTGTGAACACTGTGTATGTTGAATCATTTACGCACCCCAAATTTATTTAAATTCCGCACAGACCGAGTAAAGTGATAATAACGATAAAAATAATATTAACAGTAACTCTACGGAGGGTATTTCAATATACTTCCGAATGTTATTTACATTTTTTTTTCGTTATATTCCACTAACACCAACAGTGTAAATTAAAAGCAAAATTTTGAATCTACTTCTTTTCATCTTCATTCTTTACACTAATTCAGCTTTGATGTGCATTGTCGGACGCTTTTTTCATGACAGAATCTGGCTCATTTTGGCAACGGGAAATAATAAATGACACCACTATGAAAAAAAAAATGAAAAAATAGAATCCAGAACATAGATCACGATACTTTCACATTATTATTTTATGAGAATCTCAAGAGAAATGTTTCCAGATCTTATTTTGTCTTCGTTTTATAGCTGAAAAAGTCAAGGAATTTAGAATGCGATGGTGCCGGTCCTCGCTTCTTCGATCTGCCGTACAGTTGTACTTGAGGAACTATCATTAAACCCTAAGGATCTCTCTGTTACATGGACTAAGAATTAAAAGTCGCCGAGAGTCGCATAACAAGGCAGTTCATTGAGTAAATGAATGATGGCGTAAGCATGGTTGCAAGACGAGAATTGTTGAATACTAGCAGTACCTAGAGAGTTAAATGTCGTTGTAGCTAAAGTAAGTACTACTAGTTGAAGCATTAGGTATTAATTACATCAGCGAATAGCGACCGTTATGCATTGGTGTTATAAAAGGCTAGAAATAATTTGTTCTTGAAATAACTCATATCTAACCCTTAATCTTTTCGCTGCGTACAATGGACTTCGAATTACAGTATATACTAATTCTATACTAGTACCACTGTAACAGCTAAGACAATCGTATATGCCAAACTAATTTTGGTTTTAAAAGCGTATTCGATCCATTATACTACACGTGCGTATTAAGAAGGACAACACTTCATATTTCTGGGCATTAGGAAATCATAAGATATGTGGTCTGCATCCTACCACACTAACCCATATGCAGTAAGCAAAGGATACACACTAAAAACTGATATCATATCCAGACGATTGGATAGGTTCGTCCTTAAGGAATCCGCCTTGTAAATGCCATTAAGGATAGAATATTCTTGATAATAAAATAACATATTCAGACAGAGACATATGAAGGTACAGGGAGAAGGAGAGAGGAAGTGGGAGGAGATAGGAAGAGATTGAGGGAGAGGGAGAGGGGAAGGAGAGACAGATAGAGAGAGGAAAAAGGAAAAAGAGAGAGAGAGAGAGAGAGGGAGAGAGGAGAAAGAGAGAAGAGAGAGAAGAGAGAGGAGAGAGAGAGAGAGAGAGAGGAAGAGGAAGAGGAGAGAGAGAGAGAGGAGAGAGAGAGAGAGAGAAGGAGAGAGAGAGAGAGAGAGAGAGAGAGAGACCAGGAGAGAGAAGAGATGAGAAGAGGAGAGAGAGAGAGAGAAGAGAGAGAGAAGAAGAGAGAGAGAGAGAGAGGAGAACGAGAAGAAGAGAGAGAGAGAGAGAGAAGAGGAGAGAGGAGAGAGAGAGAGAGAGAGAGAGAGAGAGGAGAGATGAGAGAGAGGAAGAGGAGAGAGAGGAGAGAGAGAGAGAGGAGAGAAGAGAGAGGAGAGAGAGAGAGAGAGAAGGAGAGAGAGAGGAGAGAGAAGAGAGAGAGAGAGGAGAGAGAGAGAGAGAGAGAGAGAGAGAGAGAGAGAGAGGAGAGAGGAGAGAGAGAGAGGAGAGAGAGAGAGAGAGAGAGAGAGAGAGAGAGAGAGAAGAGAGAGAGAGAGAGAGAGAGAGAGAGAGAGAGAGGAGAGAGAGAGAAGGAGAGAAGAGTGAGAGTGAGAGTGAGAGAGTGAAAGTTAGAGCGAGAGCGAGTGATTGCAGAGTGGAATGCTGGTTGGGAACCTTTGCTGAAAAAAACATAAACCATACAAAGATACAAGGACTAAGAAAGAAAGACAGAGGGCGCAAAAAAAGAGACAAATATAATATGGATAGAGCATAAAACAATAAAATGGCATGGGGTGATTTTTAACAAAGTTAGATGTTATGATAAAAAATAAATTAATTGATTAAATAAAAAACAGTTATGCTACAGAAAGATGTTAAGGAACCACTACAAAAACTTTCAAAAATACTCACAAGAAAAAACCGAGAGCATTTTTTTCTCAAACTAGAAAAAAGGACTGTTTAAACTATTTAAACAAGATTCACATTTGTATGTTTTTATTTGTATACAAAAATTGAATATTCAAAATTGTGTTGCATAATATATGTGAAGGTATCTAATAACGATTCTATCATACAACAAGATTATCCCCATATGCGTACCATACTGTACATAATTTGACTTCGTACTCGTCTGCTGCAATTAACTTTTAACATACGCAGCTTCTACAGTACTCACAATTTAAAACAGAGAAAAACTAAACAATGAATGTTCTGAATGAGAAGAAAAAAAAGATAAATTATACATCAGTACTTAATCAACATTGGGGCAATCAATAAAAAAGGTAACCATATACCTATAATCTGTTTTATAGACTAGTGAGTTCTAACAATATATCTTCCTTATTGTTAACATACATTGTCATGCTTTGAAGCTTTGATAAGAATAACATAATTAAGGCATGCCTTCTGTACTTTCAATTTTCCATATTTAAAGGTTATTAATGCAATAATAATGAAAATGGCAAGGAATTTGTGCCTTGTGTTGCCACTCAATCCTCTTTGAATATGAATACAGTAACATATCAAACATTCAATATAATATAACTATGAGTGGACAGACAAAAAAGAAGTCCACATCAACACCAGCTCATTCTGTCAATCATTTCCTATTGCAGACAAAAGTCATAAAAAAGTCACAAACATGTGACAAATGCCACAATCAGCAACTGCCTTGTATATCTTCAACTTGCAACCGATCATGCACTCTCTTCACGTACACACTCCTATTTACAAACGATCAACAGGAACATCCTAGCACATACTAATCTCTTGAATGATTTGTAATCTTTCTGTCGTTGCTCCAACCTGAATGTCTTGTCTTGTGGTTAATGAACGACTGATTTTGATAAACCATAGTACGAGGATTAACTCACTACGAAAGCACCAGCAGTCACTTTTTCTTCTTCTCTCTCTGTTTACAAGATTTCTAGGGTGTTTCCTTACCCTTGATGACAGAAAGAAAGAACATAAAAAGAAAACAGAAACTGCGAGACTGTCATATATATATATTCATATATTATATACTGTATATATATCAAAGTTATCTGGTCCTCTAAGATGATAATAATAATAATGATAAAAAAAAAGGAATCATTTATAAAAACAGAGGCACAAATACACCTGTGTTTACATCTGGACTATTTGAACATTCTCTGAGGGGTTCACGAGGGTAAGGAGAGGGAGGGGAAGAGGGGTTCTCATAGGTTTAAACACAATATATCACAGTACTTGAACATAGTTTACTGTGACAGATGTTGAGGAGGTATGAATAAGAATGTATATCTTCACAGTGCAAAAGATATTCATCTGGTTTTGATTATAATTTTGTCAGAAATACAAATATTTCTGACACAGATACAATAAAAACCAGACAAGTACATTTACACTGTGAAGATATTCATTCTCATGCCTACCTTTTCTACATTAGAGTACTTGTAACTAATGTTTTAAAACCTAGATGACTGTATTTGGAGCAAAAAAGACTCCATGAAAGATAATCTTTAACATGCAACAGTCTAAAAGGATTCATATATTTGACATACTAACAAATGCCAGTCTAAATCATAACTGTGGCTAATCAAGAACCTTCCTAGACACTGGATTTACATGCACCTGCGGTTTTATTTATGGCTATGTCATTCAGATATTACGTAAATATATATGTGTAAAAAAAAAAATGTCCATTACCATAACAAAAATTCTTATGAATCTTAAATAATTCTATTGTGAAAATCATGCCCAAGAACTGGAGTACTATTCATGATTTCATTTTAGAATGAATATTTAACATCACCCTTCTTTGTACGAGGCGGGTTTAATCCATGTAAAAAGAAAAGAGAAAAAGAAATCCAGTTTTATGTTTCTCCATCATTTTGACAGCCCTCAATGGTTTGGTCAATCTTTCCCCTCCACTGTCCCTCTCAAAATGGGAAAAAAATGGAAAATAAATTCACATAATCACTCCTTCATCCATAAAAAAAATTAACTAGCTTCTAATTAGCCTCCTTGGATATTAAACAATGGCAGAAGTCACACGTGGAGAGTCATGTGTCTGCCTTGCTGCCAGTTCCCTCCGAAGCTCATCAACTCTTCTCTCCAACTGGCCCTTGACATGGAGCAGTTCTTTGAAGCGGATATGAACTGGTTCCTGAAAAACAGGAAACAGCGATTTTTAATACTTCTTCTTCATCATGTCATTATAACTGATCTTGTTCTATTTGTTTTTGTATCTAGTTTTTGCATGTGTATATTTGTATGTTTGTGTCCAAGATGTAGCTCTGATATATAAACCAGAAGGCATTACAAAAAAAAAAAAACATCATCTAGTACCTGTGGGCGCATGGAAGGGTTCCAGCGGCAGTAGTACTTATCCCATAGGCACAGGTGGCGCATTGAAGTGAGGGGGAAGAGAACGTGGTGGCGGGTGGCGGGGTTATAAAGGGGATTCTCGAAGTCCGAAGGATTGCTGAGGATGAGTGACCATAGCGACACCGTCTTGGTCTTGACTTCCTTTTCCATTCGCTCTCTCTCGCTGTTGGGGGAAAGAAAAGGGGAGAATACAGAGAACATATGGGCAGAAAATTGATACATGCTGCCAATAATGGAAAAAGATGAAATGAGGAAAAAGAATGCAAAGAAGATAACAAAGAGCAATGAAAAGGAGGGGGAGATGGAAAAAGATGGAAAATAAGGCTGAAAAAGAGTCATCACCTCTTACCTGTTATAAAGGAAAGTCCCGAAAAGACAGGAATACAAGTGATCCAAGACAGTGATGAGCAAATCCTCCGTGAATTGGAATGCATGAGGGAACTGCTTCATCACCTGGCACACGCAATCCACAAACTGCAGGAAGACTGGTGACCGGTCCTCGTCCTGATGCCGGTCATCTCCATGCCCAATGCGCTGTGCGGTGAAGATAGGGAGGGGGGAATTGTGTGACTGTTGTTTTTATAGTGGCATAATTTGTAACAAGAAGACAAATGGAGCAGATATATCAGATTAAATTTCGCCATCAAATGATTACAATATGATGCAAGTTTATCAATCTAAAACATCCAAGACATTCTGGCACTCACCTGGGCAAACTTATGGCCAAAACTGAGCCACTCCTTCTCAATAAGAACAGCAAAGCCTGGAATGGTGCGGTAGTATCCATCCAGCATCAGCATGGCCAAAGCTGTCAACTGATGAAAATAAAAAAGACCTATTGATTAAGAAAGGTATTTTACAAGGAATGAATAATTGAGCTGTTGCACACATATAAATAAATGTCAGACATTGCAAAATCTCACCTGAGCTGTGCGATCCCATCCATCAGAACAGTGAACGACAACACTGGTCTTGAGGCTTTCGACCTTGTCTGCAATCCTTAGGGCTCCACTCAAAACACACCTAATGTGGTCTAGCCAATGCGTTGCCTCAAGATTACTTAGCCAGTGGGCATTGTCAATGTGTGGGTAGCACACCTCTGGAATGATGAAAAAAATTGTGTGATCTCCTTAAAACTTTGGATCCTGGTGATGTGGACATCTTGTTCACATATAAAGACAATATAATGTTACTTAAAGCTATTGTTACTGCTCATAGTGTAACTACCTGGAGATAATATGGAGTTGGCTTAATGAAAACAATTCATTACCATTTTCATACAGCATAACAAAACAAATGACAAATATAGTCCTCAGAAAATGGCAATACGGGAAAAATGTATCCCCAGAAAAGCGCTACCATGAATATGTGGTTTTGCTGGTCAGGCCTACAATCCACACACCCACAAATCCGGAAGAGTAGCCACGCAAGGAAACTTAATGCACGGACTATGTTAACCACAAAGACACCTGGATTCACTAAGTTAAACTACAGCCCCCCCCCCCCCTCTCCATACAAATAGCACAATCAGTATAAAAACAAGGCAAAAAACACTTAACAACAATACCAACTCTCTTCCCAACATACCCTGCAGCTTGCGGAGGGATTCTCTCATGACGTGGATGTTGTGAATGTCAAGGAACTGGACTTCAGCATTCTGGTAGGCGTCTTCACTCTCGTAGCCTCCACCCCGAGCCTTATTGGCAACAGCATTTACACTGTTAGGGAAAAAGGAGAATGATGATGTTGTCAAGAATAAAGAAAAAAGAAAAAAGAAAAAAAAAAAAGAAGAAGAAAGAAGGAGGAATAGGAAATAAAAAAAAATTAGAGTGGCACAGTACCTTTTAGATGTACAATCACGTATGAACTGTTGAAAACTGACAAGCTGATTTCCTGTATTTTTTTTTAATGGTTCAATATAGATACTCAAATAAGCAATTCTTCAAAACTCAGATCAGTTAAAAATTATCCATAAATAAATATTGTTTCAGAAATTACAGGAAGATGAACATATACAGCCTCATACATAATTTTATTCTAAATCTACTCACCTTGGTCTTGCATCCATGATAAAGATCTTGTGACTCTGTGCATTGGCATCCATAATGTGTTGAATGTAAGCTTCGTCATCACGGCTGCGTTTCCCACTCACACCCACCAGGGGCTGAGCACACCTGGTGATGGTGGCCTGGCTCTCAGGATGAATCCAACTCAGGACCTTTAGAAAGAGAAATAAAGATGGTACTGAGACTTTACCTGAAATGCTTAAACATGAATTTGAAAAGGAAAAGAATAAGGAATGAAAGAAAGAAATTCTAGTATTTTGCTATGTAACCTACTCTACTTTGAAATTTTTTGGACATTTCATTCCATGTTGTTTATCACAGCAACTTCTCTCACGTTCAAACATACCGGGATTCTTCCTCTGCTTCTGAAAGCTGCCACATTGCGCAGGTCTGTGTCTGAGGCAGCTGCTGGCACGGCCCACACAGCAGGGTACGTCTCACAGAGCTCGTAGTCCTCATTTAATCTCGTGATGCGCCAAGATTCATTGGGCAGTCCCTGAATTGCATGTATCAATTGTTAAGGCTATAAGAATGGTTAATGGTAAATGGTTAAAAAGCAAAATAAATGTGCTAGACACCTAAGGTCATATAGCACTATGGGCAGGTATATTAATGGGTGGTGAAGGGTGATAGTTGCTATGTGTCAACTAACTATAGCAATTCTGAAAAGACTATAATAAAGGGGACTGGTTTTGCAAATAATGATATAACAAATCTAGGAATATTAAAGCTTCTGTCTGTCCAACTGTTTTAATCTGATGGAATCATTAAGACTAACCTGTAAGCAATTTCATAAAAGAAATAATATATATATATACTCCCAAAAACCCAAAATATTTCAACATATCAAATAATCACCATTAACTGCAGTACATACTAAAAATACTGAAATCTTCATCAAACATTCCAGCCTAGAAAAAAACATTACTAACAAATATAAAAAAAAGTAGCCCACATCTCTCTCTTACACTCACCTGTCTCTTTAACTCGGCAATAGGCTCATAAACAGTCCAGCCATTTTCCGGATACTGCTCACAATACTCAAAAGCAAAGAATGGCAGTTTGTGAGAAGCCGGAAACGCGTACTGCAGCAGCTTCTCTGTCACCATGCGCCTTGAGTGATTCTCCTGAAGTCAAAGGTGTGAATATTATGTTAAGAATGATCTTTCTTGACTTTCCCTAAAGGAAAATCCTGAAGATATGCTTGTAAGAAATTGCAAAATGACAGTACCGTGCTTCAAGACATTAATTGGAAATACCTCTTATCATCTACTGAAATCACAGGTGATTTGCTTACCAGTACCTTACTGAGTAGTGTGCCTATCTTTATGAATAAAGAAAAGGGAGATTTTTATTTTGATAACATTTTTCTTTCAAACAAAATTGCTTTCATCTGAAGCAGTTAGCACAGCATAGAGTATAATGTCAAAAAGTAAAATAAGGTAACATAAACCATTAAGAGACCATTAACAGAACAAGATCTAGTATAGAGGTGAATCAAAGGCATTCCACTCCTATGCTACAGTATCAATAATATTAATTTGAAAAATAATAATTTGATACATTCCTTGTACTACAAAATCATAATGGCTCTCTTCGTATTTCCTTCTTTCTCCTTCCCTTTATATTTACAATATGAATGGTGAACTATGAAGCTCCTCTTGTTGTTTATAAACAATCTTATCATTATTATATATATATATATATATATATTATATATATATATATATATATATATATTATAATATATATATAATGTGTGAACACACACACACAAACACACACACACACACAACACACACACACACACACACACACACACACACACACACACACACACACACACACACACACACCACACACACAACACACACAATTATAATATATATTATATATATATAATATATATATATATATATATATATATATATATTATATATATATATATATATTATGGTGTGTGTTGTGTGTGTGTGTGTGTGTTGTGTGTGTGTGTGTGTGTGTTCGTGTATGGTGGTATGTATTGTATGGTATGTATTGTATGTATTGTATGTATGTATATGTATGTATGTATGTAGTATGTAGTGTATGTAATGTATGTATGTATGTATGTATGAATATGTATGTATGTATGGAATATATATGTATGTATGAATATTATATGTATGGTATGTATGCTATGTGCATGTTATTGTATTATGTATATGTATGTATATGTATATGTATGTATGTTATACTTATATGTATATGTATGTGTGTATGTTATTGTATGTGTGTATTGTATATGTATGTGTGTATGTTATTTATGTATTGTATATATGTAATGTATTGTATGTATGTATGTATGTATACATACATAACATACAATATATATAATATAATATATATAATATATATATATATAATATATATAATGTGTGTGTGTGTGTGTGTGTGTGTGTGTGTTGATGTGTGTGTGTGGTGTGTGTGTGTGTGTGTGTGTGTGTGTGTGTGTGTGTGTGTATGCATATGTGTGTATGTATATGTATGCATGTATATGTATGTATATGTATGTATGTATATGTATATATGTATGATATATGGTATGTAATGTATGTATGTATATGTTGTTATGTATGTATGTATATAATGTTGTATACATACATAATACATACATATTATTATAATATATATATAATTAATATATATTATAATATTATATATATATATATATATATATATATATATGTATATTTGTGTGTGTGTGGTGGTGTGTGTGTGTGTGGTTTATGTGTATGTGTTTTATGTGTATGTGCTAACTGTGTATGTGTATTGTGAGTGTGAGTGTGAGTGTGAAGTGTGTGTTGTGAGTGTATGTGTGTGTAGTGAGTGTATTGTGTGTGTGTGTGTGTTTGTGTGTGTGTGTTGTGTGTGTCGTTGTGTTGTGGGGTGTTGTGTGTGGGTGATATGTGTGTTGTGTGAGTGTATGTGTGGTGGTGATTGCTGTTGTGTGTATGTGATGTTGAGTGGGATGTGAGGGTGATTGAGATGTGGAGAGTGTGATGGAGTGGTGTGAGAGTGGTGGTAGATGTGAGTGTAGGTGTACAGGAGTGTGGATGATTGAATGGTGGTGTGTTGTAGTGTGGTATGGTAGAGTGGTGAGTAGTGGTGTGTATGTGTGTGTGAGATTGTGTATGTGCTTGTGTGTGTGTGTGTGTGTGTGTGTTGTATGTGTGTGTGTGTGAGTGTATGTGTGTGTGTAAGTGCTGAAATAACAATGTGAGTGAGAAGGATGTGATGTGTGTAGTGAGTGAGGTAATGTGATGTGTGAGACAGAAAAAAGAGAGAATTGTGAAGGTATGAGAATAGAGGAGTAGGCAGTACCCAATGTGTGTGAAGTGTCGGTGTGTGTAGTTCGTGTGTCGTACCATTGGTGTTGTGTGTGTCGTGAAGGTGTTGAGTGTGATGTGTACGATTCACGCTAATTAATCTTTCAAGCGGTGAGTGTCGTGGACGGCTGAGTGATCCGTGATGTGATGGGACGTGAGTGAGTGAGACGTGGAGTGTGTGATGGGTTGTATGAATATCTCTATTGTGTGTGTAGCTGAATTGTGAGTCGTTGAGTTACAGAGGAGTTGTGTGTGTGGTGTTTTGTGGTTCCTGTTGTGAGTGTGTGTGCTTGTGTGTGTATTGTTTGTGTGTTTATGTATTTTGTGCTGTGTGTGTGTGTTGTGTGTGTAGTGTGCGTGTGTGTGTGCTGTGTGTGTGTGGTGTGGTATTTGTGTGCAGGTATGTAGTGTGTATTTGTGATGAGTAATTGGCTAAAACTGCTGTCATGATCGTGGTGTGTGTGTGAGTATGACGGCTTGTTGTGTGTTGCCGTGTGTTGTGTTATGAGAACGATTCGAGGACTGTGCGGGGACTGTTGAGTGTGTGTGCTGGCGACGCACCAGTGAATGTGTGTGTGTGGTGTACTGTTGTAGTGTGATAGTGTGTGAGTGTGTTGTAGATGTGTCGTGTGAGTGTGTGAGTGAGTATATATGGTAGTGCGACGTGTGATTGTGTGTGTATAGTGGAGTATTATATAGTGTATGTGTGTGTTCGATGTGTAGTAGGTGAATGGTAGGTGAGTTGCATGGATAAAGAGAAAGAGAAACCGAGGATGTATGTGTGAGTGTGAGAAGATCAGAGAAGATGACGAGAGACGTGAGATGTGCCTGGATGAGTTGTGAGAGTTGAGCATGAGAGATAGAGTAGTTGGTGATGGTGTGATGCGATTGGTGTGATGTGTGATGAATCGAGAAGAGCAGAGAGTGAGATACTGAGAGGGGACGAGGGACGATTGTGTGTGTGAGTGAGGAAGAAAAGAGAAGTGTGTGTGTGCTGGTGTGTAATGCTGTGGTGTGAGTCGAGTGTGTGTGTGCGTAGTGTACGTGCTGAGAGAGGAGATGAGAAGGGAAAAGGAGATGAGAAGAAGATGTGCGTGTGTACGTGGATGTGGTGGTACGTTGTGACTTGGATACGTGTGTGTGGTGTGTGATGGTGAAGAGGAGTGTACGTGTGTGTTTGTGCTGTGTGTGTGTGTCCGTGTGCGTGGATTGTTAGGCGTGTAGAGACTCTAGGATCTGTGTGTTTTTGTTTGCGCTTGCGTGTATGTATTGTGAATGCGAGAGGATAGTGCGAGGTTGTGAATGTGAGTATGTGTGTGTGAGAGAGTGGGGATGGGAGCGAGGGAGGGACCAGAGAGGTAAACTCTTTTTATCCCAGTACTATTGGGCGAAAATTCATTAGCAAGTGGTTATTTTGAGGGGAATCCTTATGATACACCTGTTGAAAGACTCTCTCTTGCCAACAATGAAAGCAATATACAGGACTTCCAAGATCTTTGTATGTACTGGGGGGTGTAACTGCAGCATGATTTTAAAAGTTGTGCCGAGTGTACTTGGAACGAGGTGTGATGAGTGACATAGAAATAAGGACCAAGATTATTAGCTAATATGGAAGTGAACAGAGCTGAGAAATTGAGAAGTAGAAACTAAAGGCTCTGATTAGAGAGTTTGTTTCACGTCGTGATGAAAAAAACACACATGAAAAACTTAGATGACATAAGACAACACCAAAAGAATATAGAGAACAGTAGAATAGGAAAATTATAGAGCGTAGCGCGACCACATTACATCAGCAATGGCATGGGACTGGAAAATATAAGTGAATGACCTTCATTTCATAGTGAACAAGGTGTGCATTTTCATGATCAAACTAACAAATACATGAGCAGTGCTTTAAAGAATTGAAAAAATAGAACTGAAAGACCTTTGCTTCATGGCAGGTCAAACATACACTTCTGTTATACAGTTCCAGGTATCATTATTGTTCATAATCCCCATTCCTAAGCATAGCCAACAATTTCTTCTACTGATTCCATTGTCCCTGCCTAAGCTGACTTGTTTCTTTCTCCTTGTTCACTGTACTCTTCTCACTGAACTTGTTCTTCATATATCTTCTGTCTGTGCAGGTCCTTTTAGCTCTTCCATCATCAATGTTTGGGCTACCATAGTCATCTTTGCATTGTAATGGGTTGCGAGAGGAGCAGGTCTGTGAGGAGTTTGTCCTCTCTAAGCAACATTGATAACACATAGTCCCCTCTCCAGAATATGCCATATTTTCGAAAATCAGACAATTCATAAGGCTGTACTTCTGCCAAGCACCTGCAAACTCCTATTCCCGATTCATCCTGGGACAATGAGCCAAATATTGCAAGCTGTTAATGTGCAAAGAAATTTTCCGAGTCAAAATATCGAGCCCGTCGCAATGAACACCTTCTCCCAAAATAAAATGTTCACCATAGTCATAAATCACACATAAGAAAATTCTAGAAAAGGGCACATTTGGAGAGAGCACTGGGGACTAGATTGATGACTCGGTAAATTGGTGTCTGTGGGAGAACAACGGGAATGACAGATGGTTTGCCAGGTCCAGGAAAGCTGAGCTATAGGGCCAGACAGAAGGATGTGGCGCGGAACTGTGTGTGAGTGTGGAATAAAAGGGAGAACATTTAAAATGCATCCGTGCGTATGGTTATAATAAGAGACTGGTGTTGCGGTGTGGTGACGCAAGACACAACAAATGATAATGGAAACAAGACCTG